ACATTTACCTCAAGTAGACACACGCCCTGGAGAGAACAATCATGGGAGAAGTAAGGGCTGCTTATGTACAGGGAGACAGCTCAGGGGGCAGGAGTCCATGGAGGGATGGACACAGGGAAGAGGTAACTATGGGGGAAGAAGTGGGCGCGGAGCTGTTGCATTGTGGTAAACTGTGGTCAATGACATGAGACAAAGTATATGTGAACTGCTGTATGAAAAGCGAATTTGCTCTGTAAATCTTCACCCAAATCAAAAAAAAAAAAAATCATTCCCTCCTCGAATTGACTTTTTTGATTAAATCCTAATTACTGGTTGCATTTATGTTGGGTTTTATTAAATTTATCAGCTTAGATGACTTAGAAAATGCTATAAAAAATTCTAGCATTTTAAGCCTTAGCTACATAAGTGACATAATCAAAATAAATATTAAAAAAAAAAAAAGGGAAATGACATGAAAAATCCCAGTGTTTGGATCTTAATATTTGGCAGACACACTCTGGATTACTGGTTAAGAGTAAAGTACACATTACTGGCCAAGAGGCCAAACTCTGAAGTCAGATTGTCAACGTCCGAATTCCAACTCTAATACATTTACTAACTGTGTCCACGGCAAGTTACTCTCACTAAGACTCAATTTCCTCATTTATAAAACGAATAAAACACTGTTAGTTGCTTAATGATACCCCTTCAACTTCAATTCAGATGAAGAGTAAAGTTAGAAATCGAACTAATTTTAAGCCTATTGGCTTAAAATCAAAAGGATTTTCCCTCAGTAATTCCAGTAAATTAGGAAAGGATTAAAGTGCCATCTATTGTTCAACTTGGTGAACTGCAACATATTTTCTTGTCCTAATCTATTTTTCTGAAAAATGTTTTCCACAATGAAATTCTGGTATTTAATGTACTGTGGATGTTTACGGAAAAGAAAATAATTTTATAAAGATCTTATGTCATTAGAATGATGATCTTTTTTCAGATATTTGCTTTACAATGCTCTATCATTTACTTTCTGCACATAGCTCCTTTTAGTTACTGGAAACACTAAGAAGAGTAGAAAACATTTTAAATGTTCATAGGAAGCCTTTGTGATTAAAATGAAAATGAAAAAACAGTAACAACAACAAAATCTTGGTCTGGATCAAAAGTCGTTGTTTTCCTATTTCCAACAATGATGGCTTCATATTAAGTAAGTTAGCCTACTAATATATTTATTTCTACTTTTGTTATTATGGGTCTTTTAAAACACAAGAGATATTTGAGGTAAACTGGAGTAGTTCAGTCATATAAGGAAGAACACGAGCATTATTTGCAGACTGACTGACTAACTCGTGATTCTCCTTTCTCCTTGGCCCTAAAAGCTGTACTCATGTGAGTAAAATTGAAAACATATGTTTTTAAATGGGGGGGATGTAGTATGTGTGGGGGTGGTAGTGGAGGAGAGGACTATCTCTATACAATACTGTTTTTCAGGCTTCCAAGATTTCAGAAGTATTCCAGATGATCAAATTATTTCAAAAAGGGCGGTAAAACAAAGAGGGTGGTAAACAATTTAGTTCTTCTCAACCATATTCAGGTATATAGGTAAACCCACATGTACAAATAGTGCAGTCACATTTTAAGAAGGAAATTTTGAAAAATCTAGCTGAATGTGTTATTTGAATGTGCAATGTGAATGACAAACCAGAAGTTTAAATAAACACTGTGTTTATTTAAATGAGATCATTTGTATAGGATTACTCTTAAAATGTGTTTAAAAAAAAAAAAAAAAAACCTCACTGCCGTTGACTTGGTTCCAATTCATAGCAAACCCTCCTTGGGTTTCTGAGGCAGTATAATTACAGAAGTAGATTGCCCAAACTTCCTTCCAAGGAGTGGCTATTGGGTTTGAACCTCCAGCCTTCTGGTCAGCAGTCAAATGCCACAGCTGAGTATATGTCAGGGTGAATTTTTGTAAGTGTCTTATTTCTAAGGTAAAATTCCTCAATACATTCAAATTTCTCTTACCAGCCACGTGCCATATGACACAGTATTTCTTTAACTTCCTCAAGTCAAGAAGAAACATGATAAATAACAGATTTCAACAAAGCTAGACTCGACGGCACATAACAACAACAACAACAACAGTACCTACTGTAAGGCAGAAACTGGAAGCCATTCTAGTAAGCTGGAATATTAAAGATAACCAACTGTGTGGCTGACTCAAGGCCTCCTAGAGAGCTGTCCAGAGCAATGACACCTTCTCACGGCCTACCAGAACTTTTAAGACCTAAACCTTAGCCTGTCATCTTCCTTCCTTTTATGTCAGTGGTTAGGGAGAAAAAGGAAATAAGAAAATCTAGATCATCTCAGGAGCTTTATAAAACTATACATGCCTTTCTGTCAAAGCCCAGCCAGAGAAGGGAAGAAGGGTTTTTTTTTTTTTTTTTGGTAAACAAAGCCCTGCAGAGGTGAATCTCACAAACTTGCCTTGTGTCCCTAATCCTACTCTGTTGAAAAACACTGTTTGAAGAATGCAGGTTTAATAACAAGAGGCTGAGGAGCTAGAGATGTGCTTCTCTGTGGTCTGTGATTCTTACCATATTAATATCTTGGTTAATTTCACTTCAGGCAAGTTCTCACACAAATATTCTATCCCCATTCAACACTCTCTTCTATGTACCTCTCTAATCACAGCCGAGTGACTCTAGGAAAAACCACTGCTAATTTCATCACAATGACGAATTTGAATGAAAATCTAATCAAGATGGAGACACTATAGAGTAATGTTAGTAATGTTCCTGTATCAGGCAAAAGGAAAAATTACAATGGAATAGAAAATACATAAAAGCCACTTACTTCCTAAGCCCTTGAAAATATTCAAAAATTTTTCAGAATAAAAAAAATTCTGTCACCAACTCTCTAATTAAATCTATGTTTTCTGAACATATTAAAAAATGAAAATCAAACAGTTATTTTGGCTTTGATTGCCACTACTGTAATAAGAATTTTGGCTATTATTTTTTTTTATTATAAAAGTAATGTTTGGCCATTTGGTATATGAAGTATTTTCTGTTGCTTGGCCTAAATACTGTGCACCATCTTCTCTCCATGGGAAAATATGTTCAGAGTTCAAAATATGCAATTTACAAACAGGTTCCTGAACTATTTTCACAACATGGGCACTCGCAGTAATTGTACTCACCATTTCTTCAGGTGCAGCAGGAGCTGCAGAGCCTGCGACAACAGGAATAGAAACAGGAACGTGTGCAGAAGAGGTAGAAGCAGCCCCAGCAGAAGTAATGGAAGCAGCAGATGGGATGGCAGCAGTATTAGCCGTCCCTACCGTCCCTGCTGCTGCTGGTGTTGGCGGCCATGGTGGTGGCAGAACCATAGAGGGCATGAGAGGAGCTGAAGAATCCAAATGAGCAGAAGATTCTTTCACTTGAACACCAGAACCATGGTCTTCCTTTTTATTACTTGTGATGTCCAGCCCTATAAATCACAAATTAATTTCATGAAAAGTCTTCTAAGATTACTGTTATTCTCAAAACAATGAAACCACATATTAGGTAAAATTTGGTCTTAACAAAAAAGAAGAAATTTGTCCAATGTTGGAGACAATGTTCAAATAATACAGTTTGTCCCTATTTGGAGGTTAATGTCAGCATTAATCACTGAAGGGTTCAGACTTCCGTCAACATGGAAAAGCTCTGCTCTCCATGATCTGCTCTTAATAAAAGACAAAAATAAATGTTATGCTCAGCTGGGACCTCAGAATGGTATATCACCATCACTACCATTACAACAGTCACACTGAGGATTTATATTCTTAAACATTATTTCATAAAACTATACTGACAAATGGTCTGAAATTGAGATCTTTAGAATTATTTTTTTCTACCACTGTACCCACTCTCTTCCTTCTATTGCTCCTATCCTCACAAAAATAATGTATTTATTCTCGACTTTTCAGCAAACAGTAATAAATCAGTAAGTAAAACTAAAATCTTCACTTTTGACAGTGCAAAAGAAATGTGTTCTTGCAGGTAAATAATGTAAGTCAAGAATCAAGATTGCATTTTCCACATTTAACTGACTGTAGTGACATATAACAAACTTTAGGAATGAAGCTAGGACAAAAGATTCTTCCAATTTTAGATTTTTTATCCCTGATTAAAATTTGGTTAAAGTCTCTACTTAACAACCACTATCTATGTGGTATAAACAATGGGGTGAGGCTTTAAAATTCACTCATTGAGATATTTCAGAATATCTGAATAGAGGACATTATGTATGCCCTATGTTTAAATTTAAGTATCATCAACTGCTCATATGCAAGTTTAAGCTGAAGTTGAAGACAATTAAAACAAGTCCACAAGAACCAAAATATAACCTTGATTATAACCCACCTGAATTTAGAGACCATCTAAGGAACAGATTTGATGCACTGAACACCAATCACCAAAAACCAGAGGAAATGTGGGATGACATAAAGAACTTCATACATGAAGAAAGCAAAATGTCAATAAAAAGAGAGGAAAGGAAGAAAAGACCAAAATGGATGTCAGAAGACACTCTGAAACTTGCCCTTGAGTGGATAGTAGCTAAAGCAAATGAAGAAATGACAAGATAAAAGAGCTGAACAAGATTTCAAAGAGCAGCTCAAGAAGACAAAATCAATTATTATAATGAAATGTGCAAAGAATTGGGGTTAGAAAACCAAAGGGGAAAAAAACGCTCGGTGTTTCTCAAGCTGAAAAAACTGAAGAAAAAATTTAAGCCTCGAGTTGCCATACTGGAAGATTCTATGGGCAAAATATTAAATGATGAGGGAAATATCAAAGAAGATGGGAGGAATACACAGGGTCACTGTACCAAAAAGAACTAGTTGATGTTCATCCATTTCAGGAGGTGGCATATAATCAAGAACCAATGGTATTAAAAGAGGAAGTCAAAGCTGCACTGAAGGAATTGGTGAAGAACAAGGCTCCAGGAACTGAAGGCACACTCACTGAGATGTTTCAACAAATGGATGCCCCACTGGAGGCACTCGCTTGTCTATGCCAAGAAATTTGGAAGACAGTTACTTGGCCGACTGACTAGAAGAGATCTATATTTGTACCCATTCCAAAGGAAGGTTATCCAACAGAATGTGGAAATTATCGAACAATATCATTAATATCACATGCAAGTAAAATTGTGCTGAAGATAATTCAAAAATGGTCATAGTAGCATATTGATAGAGAACTTCCAGAAATGCAAGCTGGATGTGGAGTGAGCGATATCATTGCTGATGTCAGATGGATCTTGGCTGACTGCAAAGAATATCAGAAAGATGCTTACTTGTATTTTATTGACTGTGATAGTTGGAGTTGTGTGTCAACTTGGCTAGACCACAATTCTGAGTGGTTAAAGCAGTTATGATGAAGGTTATTTCCGTAATGAGATCGGATGTATATGTTTTGAGCAGCTAATCCATTGAAAGTGAGTTTCCCTAGGGGTGTGGCCTGCTTCCAATATATTTATGGACTTCCTGGAAAAAAGAGACACTCTTTTGTGGATTGGGATCCTGTTATGCTGCCTACAACTGTCCATGAGCGAACAATCTACCATTCATCCTGGAGATCTTGGATTCATCATTCGTTGGATTCAACAGCTGGTATAATGCCTGCCAACCTTGAGCTCCTCAGCCCCTGCAGCTGTGAGTTGGGAAAAGCCTCCAGCTTGATGTTTGATCTAAGAACTTGGGACTTACCAGCGTCTATAAGTGTGTGAGCCATTTTCTTAAGATAAAAATTTTTTTTTTTTTCTCTCTCTCTCTCTCTATAAGCTTTACTGGTTTTGCTTCTCTAGAGAACCCAGCCTAACACATTAATTATGCAAAAGCATTCGATTGTGTGGATCATAACAAATTATGGGTAACAGTGAGAAGAATGGGAATACCAGAACCCTTAATTGTACTCAGTACATAGACCAGGAGGCTGTCCTTTGAACAGAACAAGGAGATACTGCATGGTTTAAAATCAGGAAGGGAGTGCGTCAGGGTTGCATCCTTTCACCACATTTATTCAATCTGTATGTTGAGCAAATAATCCAAGAGGCTGGACTGTTTTCATTATCTAGTGCCACTCTAACAGAGAATACCACAAACGGTATGGCTTGAACAAACAGGAATTTATTCTCCTACAGCTTTGGAGGCTAGAAGTACGAGTTCAAAGTGCTAGGCTTGAGGTGCTAGGTGAAAAGTCCCTTGACCTTGGATTTCAGCTCTGCCTCTTGCTCCCAGCTCACTGAAGCTGAAGGCTTTCTTCACTTAGGCAGCTGTTGGCTGCTGAGGCTGACAAACCCAAGGTCAGCAAGTAAAAAGGCACAATCCTGATATTACCAAACCACATGGCAAGCTGAAGACCTGGCTACATGCAGGGTTCAAGTATGCCAAAAAGCTGAAGACCTTCCTCAAAGTTGCTTCTTTTATACAGGAAGCACATCACATCCCTAAAGCAGCTACCGAGTTGCTCCAGTAGCTTCCACCATGAAGTAAATTACCAATCTCACCATGGAGAATAATTATATCCAACTGCCCAGCCACTGAACAGGCCCAGCCAAGTTGACACACAAGCTTAACTACCACACTGGACTACATGAAGAAGGATTAAAGGAAGACTCATTAACAACCTGTGATATGCAGACGACACAACTTTGCTTGCTGAAAGTGAAGATGACTTGAAGCTCTTACTGATGAAGATTAAAGACTATAGTATGAATTACACCTCAACATAAAGAAAATGAAAATCCTCACAACAGGACCAATAAGCAGCATCACGATAAATGGAGAAAAGATTGAAGTTGTCAAAGATTTCAAATTATCTGGTTCCACAATCAACACCAATGGAAAGAGCAGTCAAGAAATCAGATGACGTATAGCACTTGGCAAAGCTGCTGCAAAAGACCTCTTTAAAGTGCTGCAGAGCAAAGAAGTCTCTTTGAAGACTAAGGTGCGCCTAACCCAAGCCGTAGTGTTTCCAATCGTCTCATATACATGTGAAAGCTGGACAATGAATAAGGAAGACTGAAGAAGAGTTGATGTTTTTGAGTTGTGGTGGTGGCTAAGAATACTGAAAGTACCATGGACTGTAGGAAGAGTGAACAGATCTGTCCAGGAAGAGGTGCAGCCAGAATGCTCCTTGGAAGTGAGAATGACGAGACAGTGTCTCACCTACTTTGCTCGTGCTGTCAGAAGGAATCATTCCCTGGAGAAGGATATCATGCTTGGTAAAGTGGAGGGTCAACAAAAAACGGGAAGGCCCTCAATGACACAGTGGCCGCGACAATGGGTTCAAGTACAGCAGGAATTGTTGAGGCTAGCACAGGACCAGGCAGTGTTTCGTTCTGTTGTACACAGGGTCGATATGAGTTGGAGCCAACTCAACGGCACCTAACAACAACATGTTTAAATGGTTTTCTATGTCATCCTCTTTCCATCCACAAAGCTGGGCTTCTAAAGTCCTTTTCTAAGACAACCTTTATGTAAAACAGGCAGAGTAATAGTTACCTCATTAACAATATTTAAGAGAATTGCTGTGCATATTTTTTTTTAATATCCTCTGATGAAAGGTACTACTTCAATATAAAATAATGCTTTTGCTTTTAAAACAAAACATCCTTGTTCCCGTTCTGAGTCTTAACCTGTTTATAGAAAGTGATTCTGATCACCTCTTTTTTAGATCAGTGGCAGACACTTGTATGTGTGTGTGTGTGTGTGTGTACACACACGTCAAGCTGGAGGCTTTTCCTGACTCATTGAACTCAAGGTTGGCAGGCAGTATACCAGCTGCATATATATGTATGTTGTTGTTGTTGTTGTTATGTGCTGTTGGTCAGCCCAACTCATAGCGACCCCTCCTTGGGTTTCTGACGTAGTATCACTACGGAAGTAGATTGCCCCATCTTTCTTCCAAGAAGTGGCTGGTGGGTTTGAACCGCCAGCTTTCTGGTTAGTAGTCAACTGCCTTAGGCACTACGCTACCAGAGCTCCTATGTATATGTATAAAAGATGTGGAACAGTGGAATCATTACAGAGATTAGAACTGGTCCTGGGATACCTAGAGAGTGATGAGTGACTATGTTATCATGAGTCACTATGAGTTGGATTCAACTTGATGGCAGTGGTTTTTTAATAAATAACATTTTAAGGTTATTTTTATGGTCATGTTCTGCCTTCTTTATAGAAGCCTCTGATTTATAATCTATAAGATTTAAGATACTGTACAACATGAAAGGCAATGAAGATGTGCTAGCAGAGAAATCAGGACAAATAAAAACCTTGCATCATTAAAAACTGCATTATAAAAACACTTGGTTTAATCAAGAAAGTGAGCCAGAGTACTTTTCCTCTTGTGGGAATTTTTTTTTTTTTTAAATGGCTGTTAATGACACAAAAACCTAAGTATCACAGAGCAAATCCAGCATTAGATTATACTGAATTTTTGCTTTCTATAGCTCTACCAAGGAGCTCTGGTGGCACAGTGCCTAAGGCATTTGACTGGTAACCAGAAGGCTGGAGGTTCAAACCCACCAGTCACTCCTCGGAAGGAAGATGGGGCAATCTACTTCTGTAGTGAAACTGCCTTGGAAACCCAAGGAAGGGTTGCTATGAGTCGGATCGACTCGACGGCGGTGAGTTTGGGATTTTCATAGCTCTACCAACACTACCACTAGGGTGTGTTTTACTCCTGTCATCTTTACCACGATTGCTTAATACAAGATGACAACTCAAAGCAGCTGGGTTGCTAGAACCTGGCATTAGCTCTGGATAACAGAGAATTAAAAGCAACAGAAGCAAAACAAGTTATGTTGTCTCATTATCAGAATATATTTTCTCCAAATTCTGTTATAGATATTTGCCTACAGGACACACCTGCATGTGAGTCTAAAATTTAAGACAGCAAATTTATTAAGGTAGTATAACACTATCTTAAATTGATTCATAGCTTCCTTAAGTAGGTTATTAGGAGCAAGTTTTTTATAACTGAATGTAAGTTCTCATGATAAGAGTTTGTTACTTGTGAAATCTAGTATCTCTTCCAAGTAGATAATTAAATTCTTCAATGTAATACATACAACCTGCTAATAATTAGAATTGAAAGCTGACTATTTTGTCATTGGATGAGGTGAGTCTGTTTTTAAACAAACTTAAATAGAGGACCATTTATGGGAGAAATCAAGCACTCATCTGGGTATTAGCAAGATAAACTATTTAGCCTCGAGAGTTTATGATTCTAAATTTCTAACCTGCATATGGGCCACATACCACGACTGCTTCAGAAAAAAATGATTTGCTTTGAACTTTCTACTATCCACAATTACAATTTAAATAATATATTTTTGATGCTTTAAAATGAAGGCATGACAAGCACAGAGAAGTTATTCACCAGGTTTAAATATTGTAAATGATGTTACAAAATGAAACTGTCTCATTGATAAAAGAGTCTGAATCCCAAAGAGGGTTTAATATGAGAGAACACTGCAAAAACGTTCAAATTTATGTGCCAACCATCAAAGTGAAAGATGAAGAAATGGAGTATTTTCACCAACTTCTGCAGTCTGAAACTGACCAAAGAAGAAATCAAGATGTATTAATAATTACTGGTGACTGGAAATGTCCAAGTAGGAAACAAAGCGGTAGTTGGACAATATGGCCTTGGCAATAGAAATGATGCAGGAGATCACATGATAGAATTTTGCAAGACCAATGATTTATTCATAGCAAATACCCTTTTTCAACAATATAAACGGTGACTACATATGTGGACCTCACCAAATGGAACACACAGAAACCAAATCAACTAGAGGCAATGGATAAGCTCAATATCATTAGTCAAAACAAGGCAGGCCAGGAGCTGACTGTGGAACACACTACCAATTGCTCATATGTAAGTTCAAGCTGAAGCTGAAAAAATTGAAACAAGCCCATGAGAGTCAAAATACTACCTTGAATATATCCCCCCTGAATTTGGAGACCATATGAAGAAGAGATTTGATGCATTGGACACCAATGACAAAAGACCAGACGAGTTGTGGGATGACATCAAGAACATCATACATGAAAAAAGCAAAAGGTCATTAAAAAGACAGGAAAGGAAGAAAAGACCAAAGTGGATGTCAGAAGAGACTGTGAAACTTTCTCTTGAATGAATATACATGTGTTCTTCTAAGCCATGATGATGAAACTACTACACAAACCACTCAGCTCCCAGTCATTACTTGGGCTATCTTTAACTTGACTTCTCCAGGTAGGCCTGTATTTATATCTACTGAAGACAGTTTGAGTTGGGGTCTCTCCTAAACAAAGACAGGAGGCCCAGTTTCTAAAATGGGAATTTATGACTAGATAAGAAATGCTTAACCAATAATATAATATGAGGAAATTTGCCAATTAAGAAAAACAAAGATAAGAATTTTGCACTTAAAAACACTGAAAGTATAAGCTAAAAGGGACTTATATTTATGTTCTACATTAAAAGCATTATTTTAGTATTGAGCGTAAATAGAGAGTTGGCAGTTTATGTGATCATTTCTAAGATAACCTAAGTAAACATGACTGAGCTACATGGAAGATACACAACTAGCTATGACACCATAAAATCAGAAATATTAACGCTTAGATGAGACATGTCCATTGCAGAAAATCAGCACTGCAGATCATACTGATTAATGAAATCTCCTCAAATACTTTTTGAGAGTTGACAAAGAATCTTAAAATAAAATACTAACCTGTATCATTTCTGTTTTGAAACATAGTCATGGCTTCAAGATTTAATGCACACACACCCCTCATGAAAGCTTTTTTCATGGAATCTTCAAAGTGCTCTTTTTCATGCTGCATTCTTTGGATCTCAGCTTTTGCATTCTCTAAAGCTCCAGATAACTAAAATAAGGATAATTTTAAAAAATAACAATGATAAAGTTTTGAAACATAAGGAAGAATATTATTTGTTAAAATAGATTTAAATACAATCATTTTTATGTGAAATACTAAAAACAGCTTGCCATACAACACTCCTAAGTGTCCATCTTATCTCTGTTGTGTCCATCAACAAATGATTTTCATTCATAACCATAAAGTCAAGGATTAAACACAGGGAATTTTATACCACTTCTATTGCAGGTTATGATGTGTTTTCATTATGCAAATTAAGAGATATGTCCTTTCTTACCATAAAACTTTTATGTAGGGTATTAAAAAAAATATATTACAGTCACAGACAGCTCTCAACCCTTCAGAAAAAAATGACTAAATGCCTGAAATATTAACAGAATTTTTCTCTACTTAATATGACGAACAAAATTTAAAATGCAAAGTGATAGTAGGTATGGCACACTTTAACATAGACCAAACATAAAGAGACTGAACTTTTTTGTATGTCATTTTGAAGTACAGAATGCTATATTTAATGTGGTAAACACACTAATAATTGACGTGTTAAACAGCCTAACTGTAATGATGTTGAGGCACCCGTGTGCTCGCTCTCAGCCCCACTGAAGCAGAATCCTGGGGAACTTGGGCATTTTCTACAGGAAGTTTCTTCCCAGCTCTCCATGACATCTCCTAATCTGCTTCAATCCTCTGTTTTCTTATTAGACCCAGGCACGTTTTAATGGCTAAAATGGCTTTGAAACCTTCCTCACGGAATCAAACAAACAAACAAAAACACTTCTTTTTAATATTAATTAATGCTATAATAATGAATTGTTTTTCCCCTTTCATTATTTGATTTCAAGAGGCCTGCTGAAATCTTCAGTATGGTTTTTATTCATTTTAGACCCAACTATTTTCCTAGGGAAACAATGTTAATTTTATTATTAAATGTCAATGGAAAAAATAATTTAATATATATAAAACTGTTATCAATCTTATAAGAAAATAGCTTATAAATTAACATGAAGATAAATATTTGTTTTTGATCTTCATTTTTGGCTGAATAAAAGGCAAACTTAGAAGAATATCTTAGCGATGTTCGTTATCTGTGGGTGATTTTTATTTCCAAAGAAATGTACATACAAAAGATTCAACACATGTTGGGAGGCCAGAATCCTAATTATTTAAAGGAATAGCTAAGTCTGTAAGTCTGCCTTCTCAGTGTTGCCCTTTCCCAACAGTCTCACCGGAAGCTCTATTGTATTTAAAGGGGTTGGAAAAATGGGTTACTCTGTCTAATGAAAACTAATAGTAAGCAGTGTTAGTGTTACTCTTCTTCTTTATTGTTATTAAAGGAAAGGGAAAAATTTAACTAAAAAGAACTTTACCATAGCAACTTTGTTTTCATAATCATTGGAAATCTGGACACAAACTTCTTCAGCTCTGGCTTGACAAGCTCGTTCCACCACATCTTTCCACTGCTTCTGTATCGTGGAATGCCAGGCTTTCCAGACTTTTCTCAATAGAGCTCTCCGGAAGTACTGGTCAGCTAGTTTACCTTCATAAACCTAAATGAAAGTAATATAAAATCTCAAAAACACAGTGTACTGGCAGTTACTATGGCAGTAATGATAACTGTGGTAAACTGTTTACACACATTATATTATTTAATCTTGTGTAATCTTATTATTCTCATTTTGCAGACCAAACAGGCTTCAAGAGGTTAAGGAAGCTACCTACCTAGGTCACACAGGCAGCAAAGGTAAAGCTAGACTTGCCTGATCCTAGAGACTGAGCTCTTAGCCATTTTTATCATTGCTTTATGCAATTAATCAAGTATGGGAAAAACAAAACACAAAATGAAAGAAAATAAGTAACTCTCTAGTTGCCATTATAGCTACCAATTTGTCTGACCTTTCAACTAAAGTTTGGACCAGGAGAATAACAGAGAGAAGACAAAAAAAAAAAAAAAAAAAGTGGCTTCTGATGGGACAGTTTTCTCTTCAGTTTGGCAGCTACCATGCTAAGATTAATTTACATATCTTGTCATCATATATAGTGCCAAACTGATCCAAAAGGTAAATAGGCTATTTTTCTTTCATCAACTAATTTAAATTCATTTGAAGAAGTAGTTCCATTTTCAACTTTCTTAAATTTGAAAAGATAATATAAAAAATTACAGCCGTTTTAACCATTCTGGTTAATACTTAAAAAGATTACGTATTCCCATTATGTCACTTAATAAATTACTTTCAAAATACGGTATAAAAGATAATTTTTAAACAACTCTCTTTAAAAGTATTAATATGATATAATTTAGCGGGATTAATAAAAAAGTGAAAAAAAATCTAAGTTTTCTTAAAGGAGAAATTCTATTCCATAGAAATAATAATTTTCTTAAATATATACTTAAATGCTGACTTATACAAAATGATAAGACAAGTGCATCAAAGATACATTGTTATCTGCCCTCTAGTCGGACCCAACTCATAGCGACCCCTCCTTGAGTTTCTGAGGTGGTATCACTATGGAAGTAGATTGTCCAACCTTCCTTCTGAGGAGTGGCTGGTGGGTTTGAACTGCCAGCCTTCTGGTTAGCAATCAAGTACCTTAGGTACTATGCTATCAGAGCTCCCATCAAAGATATAGCAAACTAATCTTTTGAAAACTACGTGCACAGACATCACACAAGAATACATACAGACATACATACCCCATACATGCTCTCTCTATTTCCATTTTCTTCTGGAATATGTACATATTCTGATGCTTTTCCACTTTTGATGCAATGCAAAACTCAATGCACCGCTATGGAATTGGAACTGACTCAAAATGACCCCTTCTTGGGTTTCCAAAACAGTATCACTATGGAAGGAGATTACCCAACCTTCCTTCTGAGGAGTGACTGGTGGGTTTGAACCACCAGCCTTCTGGTTAGCAGTCAAATGCCTACGGAACTATGCCACCAGAGCTCCTACTTCTGATGCCGGAATTTGTTTATTCTTTTCTCTGTGTTCACTATTTATTCTGACATACTGAATCAGGTCTTCTTTAATTAAAATAATAGGTGTTGAAGTTTAACTGATACACAAATTAAGGATTATGTTACTTATTTTTATTGTGATACTAAGGATAATTTTTTATAAAGCTATATAAGTATGGTTTTCTTTGCTTCTCACCATAAGGCAAGTCACCCAAGAAACGTGTATTATTTTGTAATGTAGAAATATAGTACTTCCTCCTTATGAAGAGGTTGCATTCAGGCATTTTAGAAGTAGGAAGCATAAGATACATTAGAGATTATGAATTCTTTTTCTACCTAACCACATCTGAGGTAAAATTTGCTTATCAAGTTTCCATGGTCACAGCATTTGCAATTTACTAACCCACTATGAGTAGCAAATGATGTATCAACAGGTCTATAAAAATCTAAGCTATTTTTTCCAAATTAAACCAAAATCAAATTCCTTTGAAATAAGAGCAACAATATGCTGTAAATTTATTTTGATTGATTGTAAAATGAATAATCACAATAAATTGATGTCTTTTAAAAACAGTTATAATAAGTAATCCTAAACACTTTTGAGTTCAGAGTCTACTAATGTGTCAGTGGTCTTCTCTTTTTTCATACTCACATCCTGTCTGGATTTGACATGGCCAATTCGCCAGTAGAAGAATGTTCTCATCAACTCTATCCTTTCCTTTTGCTTGCCTATGGCATGAGACAAGCTAGATATCACCTATAAATAGCAATTAACCCAATTATTATGATTGGTTATACACATTATTATATTACAATAACAGCAATTGGTAAAGTGATTTTCTCATATATCAAAAAATACTAGAGTGAATACTTGCTGATCACTGGTATATACTTCTTTATTATCTTGAAAAAGACCAAAAACTTTCCCACATGAATACACTAAATATCAATGAATGAAGGGGAGAAAAAAGTTTCACCATGTGTCTGTCTTGCTAATCAACAAAAAGTTTCAATAAACATAAAGTTATATGGTCATCAATATTTAATTCAAGAAAAATAATTATACATTTGAAATTTTTGTTACATATACATTCTTTATTCACTTAATTTGAGGGCAGAGACCATGTTTTCTCTTTCTAGTCCCTGCTATTGGGTATAGAAGTGTTTCAATGACCGCAAGATTTTTTGCATTCAACAAACTTATAAAAGCAAATAATTAATAATCATATTTTGATGTACTTAATTGGTATTAACCCTGTCCTTTAAAATAAATCTATGAAAGTTTCTAAATCCTACAATAATATTCTCTTATAAAGAAATGAATAACTGAAGTATCTATTTTTAAATGTCCACTTCTGAAAGACACTTTGTTGAGTATTTTTACCGAGATACATTTATTCTGGTTCTTTACATGATTCCCAAAGGAAGAAAAAGGCAGACGTTCTAAGATACTGGAAATGTTCTAGTTCTTATGCTGGATGATGGCACATGGCTGGTCACTTTAAAGGAACATGGTATATGCACTCTTTTTGTGATTAATACTTCAACATAAAGTAAAATATTTTAAAACATTACAACAGGGTTTTGAAAGTAATAAAGAAAACAGCTGACATTAGAATCATTGTTTCAAGTGAGAAAACTATGTTAAGTGTTCAATTCTGTATTACAACCTGCAAAACTAAAAAAAAAAAAAGTATGTATTATTTTTAAAAACATAACATTTATTAGCTCATTAAAATATCTGAGTGCTGCTTTTGCAGACAAGTAGCAGAGGTGTCTGCTACAAGACCCTCTTCTCTGAAAGCCACTGCCATATGGATAAGGGCATCAGAAGGGGAAGAGAGAGAGGCACAGACTGTTTGCCCATCTGCCTTGTTTAAGGTACTGCTGGGAGACATAAAATTAATACCAACTCGAACACTATCTTCAAAGTTCTTAAGAAGCTAACAAAAGGCTAAATAATAGGTGTTTTCTGGATTAATCAATAACATGAAGAAAGACTATCATTATATTGATGCTTAAAATGAACCCTGACAAGATAGTTTAAAATGTTAAGTGATGCTGGTTTCCTGATGTTCTCTCAAGGGCAGTTAGGAAGAAAGAAGAGATGAATAAGAAATAACTAGTATACACATTCTCAAAATATCAAGATAACAGAAACCTGATCATTGAAATGGGTGGCAAAGATAAAATGACATTATACTGGTATGTTTAATAGGAAGAATTAATTCTATGTCTATGCATTTATTTTTCTATCAATTTCTGAAGTGATACTCCTTTGTAAACCACCACCAATTCCTGGCATTCATTATCTAGCAAGACATTTATTAATCTGAGCTACGGTACAGAGATATAAAAAAAAAGACCTCATCTTTTCTCCCAATGGAGACTTCATAAGTTTTTTGCAGCTCCTTCAAGTCATTGATCTGGTTGTACAATTGTTTTAAATGTGCTGCATGTTTCTCTTTCTCCTTTCTCATTTCCATTCGATGCCAGTCAATAAAATTAAGTTTCCACTTACTTAGTTCAGATATGACATTTGTCTGAAAAATAACGATACTGACTGTTAGTTTGTTCCTAATCCCAAACCCACTGCCATCGAGTTGATTCTGACTCATAGTGACCCCCAGTGGATTTCCAAGGTGGTAAAATCTTTATGGAAGTAGATTGCCCAGTCTTCCCTCTGAAGAGTGGCTGGTGGGTTTGAACCGCCAACCTTCTGGTTAGTAGTCAAATGGCTTAGGCACTGCGCTACCAGAGCTCTTTTGTTCCTCATACCACTTCTTAAAATGATCCTGAAATTAAGAAACATTATTTAAAAAAAAATGAGAACAGGCAATCAACACCCAAAATCTATTTAAAAAGCCAGAACATACTGATGAAAATGTGTCCCAGTTTGACAACCTTGATTCTTTTTACTTCACATTTAAGGGGATTTTTTTTTTTTTCCCTCCATACAAGATGATAATAAATAAAGAAGACCAAAGAATTGATGTGTTTGGATTATGGTGTTAGTGAGGAATATTAAATACCATGGACTGCCACAAGAACAACCAAATCTGTCCTGGAAGTACAGCCAGAATGCTTCTTAGAAGCAAGGATGACTAGACTCCGTCTCAAGTACTTTGGACATAATATCAGAAGGGACCAATCCTAGAGAAGGACATCATGCTTGCTAAAGTAGAGGGTCAGTAAAAAAGAGAAAGACCCTCAAGAAGATAGACTAACACAGTGGCTGCAACAATAGGCTCAAAGATAGCAATGACTGTGAGGATGGCACAGGACAGGCAGCATATCGTTCTGTTAGAGACAGGGTCACAAGAGACTTGGTGGCACCTAACAACAGTAACAACATAATTAATTCACCAAGTGCCTTTGTTTATTCAAGAACTTAAATGTCTGAATTAAAATGTCTGTATTAAAGATCAGGAAAAAAGTAATGTAGGACCATAACCTAGACTGAGCCGTAAATTTATTTAGAAGAGGTGGCAGTGATGGGAGTTGATGCTTTTTTCCCCTCAACCATTTACCATAATGACCAATTACAAAAATTTGTAAGTACAAACTTGTACTTATAAATCCCTCTTTACTCTACTGACTGGCATATGTAAAAAGACCAAATAATCATTTGCTATTAAGAAAACTGGCTAACAATATGGTTTACATAATACAGAACAGTTTAAGTGGTCGGTGGCACACTACTCCAATGGACTAACACTATGATTAGAAGTATAAACCTGCACCAGGGGGAAAATATAATAGAAGCTATATTAAAAGATTATTTCTAGAATTTAATGTTCCAAATAAAAGAGAAATATAAATGTCATGGAGTTCAACTTTGCATTTCTACAGTATCTGTTTTATTTAGAGGCCAATAACATCACCCATTTTTAGAGATTTATCATTTATATATTGTAGTTGCTATAAGAACGACTATACAATGAAGACAGATTGCTAAAAGTGCATCTTGTGTTTCACATAAAAGGAGACATTTCCATTAGTTATAACTATAATGATGTAAAGGCTTAACACATGTCTTAACCACATGTAGGCTAAGCCTTTCAAAACATCTGAGAAATTCAATAGAACGTACAAAGCTATTCCACTATTTAAAACTTGAACCCATAGCATCACCCAGGAGCTTGTTAGAAATGATAATGTCAGGCTCTGCCCAAGACCTGTTGATAAGAAGCTGTAGTTTAACGAGTTTAAACTAGTTTAACGAGATCCCCAGGTGATTTGTAAGTACATTAAAGATTGAGAAGCATAGCTGTAAGACACTGGACTAATCTCAGGAAAGAAAAGATTTAAAAAACAAAAAGCAATGACTTCAAGAGTAGAACTGTTGTACTATATATTGAACAAATGTAATACCTTAAGACTTGAACTCCAAAGATCAAACACATTTTCTATCTTCTGAAGGTTTTCATCAGAAATAAGAAAATCATTCACAACTACTTCTTGGACGTGTGTCACATGACTAGAATTGGATGCTGGTGAGGAAGAGTCATCTAAAAGATGTGAACTGAAAAAATCCATGACTGGGTGAATGAGCTTCCTTGGTGATGACACTGGTGATGACCCTAAAAATAAAAAAGTTGTAGCAGTCAGGCCAAATTGAAAATAACCCAAATTAGTAAGCAGTTAACATACTGAAAGGCTACAAAATATTAGCTCCCCATGGAAGCTAAAAAAAATTTAAAGCAATTACCTAAAGTATACTGGCCATTTTTAATCTAAATCTAGAATTTGGACTAACCTGACCTGCTTGAGATACCTCCAACAGAGCCTCCAAGTGACTTCAATTCCAAATAAAGATGCTTTATATACCAGGTCCAGTATGTGTTGCTATAAATAATACCATCTACATCATGGTATCAACATTCACTAAGTGCTTCCTATGTTCCTGAGAAACAGCTTTGTAAAGATTAGTTCTCTTAATATACTCTACCCAAAGAAATTTGTTGTTGTTGTTATTTGCCATCGAGTTGGCCCCGACTCCTAGTGACCCCTCCTTGGGTTTCTGAGGCAGTTATCACTACAAAAGTAGGATTGCCCAACCTTCCTTCCGAGGAGTGGCTGGTGGGTTTGAACCGCCAGCCTCCTGGTTAGCAGTCAAGTGCCTTAGGCACTGTGCTACCCAAAGAAATAGGTATTATTATCCCAATTTTGATTAGAAAACTAAGGTTCATAGAGGTTTAAAATGGCCAAGGTCAGAGTAGCAGTATATAGATCATTATTACTAAATCTTCAACACTAGAAGGATCTTAATGCTACTGAAATTCAATATTATGAGTAGAAAAAGACTAATAATTTAGCTTAACAGATAATCAGTTGTAAGGTACCTTGTTAGCCTTCAATATATATAGGTAAGAAATACATGGTGGCACAACATGAGGAAATGTAATTAATGTCAATGAATTGTACATGCAGAAATGGTTAAAACGGCAAATGGTTTGTTATATATACTTCACCACAATAAAAAATTGAAAATGTGAAGTCAATTGTATATTGTTAAAAAACAAATATATATATATACATGTTTATACATATACACATAATCCCCATGCCCTGACCAAGTACACTGGGGATGGGATGGGAAAAGACAGACCCAGAAAGAGAACTGCTATCTATTTCTAAAAAGTACAAAATAAAAAAGCTAAAAAATTTGATCCCATACTTACGTTAGAATTAGAGACTATTCATCATCATTTCTCACATGTATTTTTTGTGAGGGTCCTAAAAACCAAAACTGAAGAGCTTTTCTCTCTTCCTTAATGAATTAATCAAAGATAAATCTATTTGGAAAGGGGCAAAAATTGGAGATCCTGGATAGAGTGGGAGAAAAATGTAGGATAAAATTCAAAAGCATAAAAAAAGTCATCAAGAGACTGGTGAAACCCCTGAGACTATGGCCCTGAGTTACCCTTTGGGCCTGGAATTAGACTCATTCCCATGGCTTAACTCTCAGCTCAACAACAGACAGGTCTATGAGCTGAACAATACCTTGCACTCCTTGGAACATAGGAGATCAGAAAGGCAGCATTAGCACAGGAGAATGCTAGGCAGGCAGGAACACAAAGGGAAGGACACAAGGAAGGGGTAACCACAGGGAGGAGGTGGGAGGAGAGCTGTTACATTGTGGGGATTATAATCAGTGTTGTGAAAGCAAATGTGTATGAACTGTTGGATATAAAAAAAATCTGCTTTGTAAAACTACCCAAATCACAATAAAAAGTTAACAACAACAGAAAAAGATACATCTATTATAGAACTTGTTACTTAAAAAAATCAAGAATTTTTTCCAAAAGGGAAAATCATTTCTAAATATATGTTTTGCATAGAAATATAATAATACATTAATACCTGAAATAACACCTGCATGTTCTAAAGATGGTTAAAGTACCCAAAGAACAAGGCAGAATGACAAATTACATGAAAAGCCTAAAATTAAAAAAAATATATTATTTTTCTTTTACTAATCTTGGGAAAAGCAATAGGCTCTGCTTTCTTTTATTTTTAATAAATACATTCACTTTTAAAAAACTGAATCATGTAATATAAGAAATAGAATTCAGAAGGGCCCTCAAAGATTACATTGTCCCAAACTTTCATAAAGGATAGAGGGATTTCTCACATAAATTACACTGAATCACAAAGTTAAAAATATTTTCCCATTTTTATTATTTTAATCATTCTGATTATATCAAGGTAAGAGTCTCAATATGGTGTTATATAGTTTTAAAAGCTCTTTAATACTTGCTAATCTCCTCTTTTAACAAACAGCAGAACTCGGGCAGAATACAATAATATTTAACCAAAATTTAATAACTTTGTTTTTGTTGCATTATTTTCATCTAGTTCTATTTATAACAGCTATACACTAGTTGTATGCTATATTTAGTAGTAAATAACATAAAGGTTCCTTTAGCATATTAAAAGGAAAACACCAAATAAGAGAAAAGTATAGAGATATGATGAAGAATCATTAAGTTGAAACACAAATACCTGAAAGCTGGGAAACAGTGTATTGGTTCATGAAAGGTTTAAATTGTCCAACCTTCCTATATCCTTTAAATCTTCTAAAATATTTGCCCTCTAACTGAGCAGTTTTAAGAAAGGATGTCTGCCACACACTATCACACACTAACCCATTGCTATAGAGTTGGATCCGACTCATCGCGACCCCTCCTTGGGTTTCCAAAGCAGTATCATTACGGAAGTAGATTGCCCAACCTTCCTTCTGAGGAATGGCTAGTGGGTGTGAACCACCAGCCTTCTGGTTACCAGTCAAATGCCTTAGGCACTACGCCACCAGAGCTCCCTATTACGCACTAACTCATCTTAATTGTTCTATTTTGGAATCTTACAAAATTATTTTAAATATTACCATTTATAGTCATTACAAACAACAGGCATCTTAAAATTCTGTCAATATGCTGGAATTGTTATCTTTGTACTTTGTACACAATCAAAACACAAAATATATATTAATAAAAACAAGCTAAGAAAAAGTCATACCATCTGTCTTTGAATGACTTGATGCACTTAAATCACATCCTTTTCCAATTTCCATCCCAGTTTCTCTTGCTACAAGGTTATTTCCTGCTAAAAAAAAAGGATTTGATTTTTTCATTAAATGGGACCATTCTTAAATAGATGTCTAAACACACATACTTAATTTAAGAAGGTTGCAGTACATGAATAAGATTTTACAACAAATAAAATGCAATATGCCGGGGATACAGTAACATTAAGGCAATAAATAAGAAGAAAAAATCTCAGATTAGGAAAAGGTTGGTTCCTCCAGTCAACTCCAAAAGGATAGAACAAAGAACTGCTTTGAGAATCTAAAACTGCAGTTGTTCTTTCTTAACAAAGAACACGAACTTTGAATAGAACCCCCACTCTCACCACCAAGTAAAGATGACAGTTCCTAGCCTGGAGTTAAGGTTCTTCAAAATTTGGCCCTGAATCTGTCTTTCTACTTTTATCTCCACTTATTTTCTGATCTGCTTTAGTCACATAGGTCAAGAGTCCCAACTCTGTACTGGAGTGCCCTTCCAGTGACATTCCCAATGTTACCAATACTTTCAGGGTTTAGATTATTTGGTAACTTCTGCCCAAGTGACCACTCCTTCACTGAATTCACAGTTCTAGGAACTTACAGAACTCATTTAGCACTTCAGCACAGACTGTCTTCGGTTGACATAGAGATGTTCTGCTTAGATCCCCCTTCAGGAAGGACCTGTTGTTCAAGTGCACACTGCCTCTGCCAGCTTCATTCTGGAGCAGCAGCACACATCTGGTCACTGGACCAGGTGAGAGGACAAAGGTCTGGCCATTTCAGCCTGCTTGGGGACATTCTGACGGGCAATACTCACTCCAGAGCTCTTAGGTGGATTGGCGGGAATGCTGATGGTCTACATCATAGACTTCTCCCTTCACCCAGTCCTCCTTCCCTTCACAGATACTGATCCCGAATAACATCTTTTACCTTAAAGTCCTTTTCAAGACTGTTTCTAAAGAATCCAACCTATCTTTATGTGTCTGTATATCTGAATTCTATTATTTTAAAATATTTATTAATTCATCATATATTCATATCTAGAATTTCTAAAAAGACCACATAAACTTACTGACAGGAAGGCTCATGTTCTTTTTTCTTTCTCCCATAGCACTTACTGATCCTCTACATACATATAGTAGGTGTTTGTGTCAGCACAGCAAAGTCAGGTTTTGCTGCATGAACAAATAACCCTTAAAATGGCTTACAAATATGTATTTGTCCCTCATGTTAACATATGTAATAATCATTTACACTGTCTTTCCTCTGGGACCCAAGGTGACAAAACAGTCCCTTCCTGAATACTGCCAGTTCTCATGTTTATGTAAAGTGGAAAAGAGAACACAGAAAATCATGTTCCCACACTGCCTGAAGTGCCCTCAATTCATTTCTGCTCACAATTCAATGGACAAAGCAAACTTCATGTCCATGCCTGAGTTGAAGAGAGTGAGAAAGCATACTCATTCCTCAGGGTAGGGCATCAGATATGGGTGAAAGTAAACTATGTCTACTGAGGCCTACAATTCATGCTAACAGAATAAGTAGGTGAATAACCACAGAACATTAAAAAAAATCAATTTAGAAAAGGACATGCTATCTTATAACACTGAATATTCTCAGGGCCTTGCTGCTTTTCTCTAACTCCAGACAAAAGTGGCACTTGTTTCCCCAAAACAGGGCCCTCCATGCCTCCACTCAGGAGCCTTTAGTTAATATATGGTAAAAAAGAAACTGTGAAAAACCTCCCAGTATGATTGTGTTAAGAGACATATCTATACTTTGCCAATTTCAACACACCCTGCTTATACTAAGCAACAGCAATACCAAAAATAGAAAGAATGTGATGATAAATTTACATAGTACCTTCTAACAACATCTGCTTGTGAATCAGAATATCTAAAGATGAAAATCACTATACGATAATTATGTTTAATTTCAAATCCTTCTTTTGGAAAAGGCAGAGATAAACAAATATATACTATCTTACATGCTAAAAAAGAGCTGTGGTCATCAATTCCAGGTGATTACTTTGAAATGTACAAGAGCTTAGAGAAGGACAGGGTTCCTGTGTTGGGCCAGTGGGAACAACAGTACCATAGTACTGTTGGCAATGGAAAGGGAAACAAGCTTCTGGTAATCACCTGAAGAGCACAGGTGTACAGGGCTAAAAATGCTGATTTGCCTGTTTACATTTATAATACAAGAGAGTATGTGGCACTTTGGATTTGCTCAGTAAGGATACTGAATGCCAAGATACCCAACAGGTAACCAAAACATGACCTAGATCACTGATGTACTGTGGATAAATCCAAGATTCATGTCTCCTGAAGATAAATAACATTCGGGTAGAAAGTGTTTCAGTAGTAGAATAAAGATTCTTGGAAGGTTCTGGTCCAATTTGTTGATCCAATCCAGTAGGCTAAAGACTAAACACAATGAAAATTCCATGCCTACGGGGGGAGAGAGCAACAGACACTACGGCTGTGACCTATCAGAAACTCAGGAGTTTTTTGACTGAATGGGCTGTGTCATGTGCCTTCAAGCACAGGGATCCTTGTAGTTAGGCTGATAGCATGGAACTGTTGAATATCAGGGAGGGCTTTCTGTGTTTCCATAGGAAGTATGTACTCTTTGAAAAAAGACTTATTTACACTGAGTTGCCTGGGATCTTATACACCTAAAACTCACTGCTGTCAAGTTGATTTGACTCACAGAGATCCCTCCTTGGGTTTCCAAGGTGGTATCTCCTCAGAAGTAGATTGCCCAATCTTCCTTCCGAGGAGGGGCTGGTGGGTTTGAATTGCCACCCTTCTGGTTAGCAGTCAATGCCTTAGGCACTACACCACCAGAGCTCCCCTTATATACCTACTCCTCGCTTAGAGACGTGGTAAGGTTTCCAAAATCAGATCATTATGTGAAAATTGGCAATATGTGAAAAAAGAAGATTTTTGGCTTTCAGACTATCTGTCTGATTTTACTTAGAAAATATGATCAAAGAAATAAGATTTTCTGGTGTGCTCATCTCTGTGATGATCCAATTATGGATTATTCCTCTGAGGAAAAGGAGGCTTGGAGAAGACAAAGCTAGATACAGGCTGGTCTGTGTGACTAAAGGGCCCATGGCTTAATTACTTCACTGACCTTCCTCCTACGCTGGGTCAGAATGTACCTTGAGAAGCCAACTTCAGGGTACCACTCCTATCCTTGCAAGCCCTGGGTTCACAATTCTGAAGCCTGCTCTGCCCTCCAGGCCTGGCAAGTCACTAGGGCTCTGGGCATCCTGCAAGGGTGCTGGGCACCTGGCCAAGCATCCAGCCCCACCAAGGCACAGATCAGCTCACTTTGGGATGTCATGAAACTCACATGTATTTCTCCCAAGCACCCTCTCTGATGCCTCTTTCTTTCCTCTCTTCTCACCCATTAAGGCCCTTGAGCTGAAGGGCCACAAGCAGTACAGGAGTTGGGAACAGGTGTCTGCTGGCTTAATGCTACCTCCACACCAGCTCAGAGGCTGTGGCCAGGAAGGAGGCAGCTGGCCACCACACCCTCTCTGGCAAGAGGGAATGGATGGCATGGGCAGTGTGGCCCAGCTTCCTGGAAGCTGCCTGGAGACCACAGTCAAACGAAGGGATGCTCTTCAGCCATTGCTGCCATGCCCAATACCTTGTTAATGCACAAAATAATCAGAATGGCATGGTCCACAAAAGGGTCCACCTTATGATGACAATCTAGACGATCCTCTATACAAACATCACTGGCAATGTCTTAGTACATGGTTTACAATCTTAGTGGACTCTGAAGGCTATCCATGGATCATCTCTAATTTTAGGCTTGGGAATTCAGTTTCCCAGAAAATTATGGCACACAACTGTCAGAACAAGTATAGAGATACAACACATTCCATTAAAAGGCATGCAATTGCTACAGCATTACTTTATTACTTTCCATCAAAGAGTCAAATGAAGTTCAAATAATCATCCAGAGTCATTTAAGAACCAGAAATAACAGGTTAAAATGTAAAACGTGACCTCAGGTGATACTGACAGACACTGCTGTCTGATTGAGAGGAATTACTGATCTAGAGAGGCATTTTTACAATCATAAGTCAGCATCATTAATAAGCTTAAAATAAGTTTTAAAATAGTATTTTAAATTAAGAGATATTTTGAAAAATATACATAACCTTGATCATGAAGAATATCATCAATTATAGTAGGAATTCTAACATCTGGCACCACTTCTCCCTTAGGATGAGATGACTGTGGAGTACTTGATTCAATATTTGGTGTCACTACAGCATAACGAAGGAGTTCTTCATACTCTTCCTAAAGAAGCCAACAGTCAATTATGTGTAACACTGTCATAATGGACAGTCAGGCAAAAGAATGATAAAGATACAGTCAAAGACATTCTCTACTTCAGTTTTCAAAACAGTGTTCCCTTGTGATAAGGAATGCATACGTTGGATTTGTTTTCATTCATCATCAGGACTCTATTACAGCAATTAAATTTCTGAAAAAACAAACCGAAGATGTACCTACCCAAATTTCATCCAGTGATAAGTGTCTTATTACCCAGATTTCTTTATTTCACAACAGTGACATCCAAATTATGTAGCATAGTTCCCTAAACCATATCAACATCTGCAACACAGGAGAGCTCTTCCCCAGCTGGGGAAGCTGGCAGGTGGGAAAACACGCAAGCCATTTCTTTTCTTTTTTTCTAAGATTTAGGTCAAAGGTATTGCCCATAAAGACTGCACAACAGGAAAGTTAGGGATAACAAAAAGTTTTGGCTATGGTCACCCCTCCAACAACTCTGAGTTTCTCTTACACATAAGAATGGAAAGAGCATAGGAGAAACATTGGAAAAGAAAAAAATATTGAAGATATAAAAAGAATATGAATGCCAATCTATTCTATTCTACTTGCTAGCATCATTATGGCATGTGAGAAAGGATTAATTTAAAAAGTCAGTCACTTATTGCAGATTTTATAGGAATACTGCATGTTGTTTTAAGAAAGGGGGGACTTCCAAATGATTATTTAACCATTGTTTAGCCACAATGACAAATGATATCTATTAGTGAGGTATACTGGAAAACAGTCAACACTGGAATTTAGTCAACATTCACAAGGGCTTGGTGATGGATGCAACAAATATTCCTAACAAAAAGGGGTCATTTCTAAGGTTTACAGCATGGGCTCGGAGAATATCCTTACATTAAAAAAACTGGGGGCAAGGTTTCCAAAAATGGGAAATGTTATTACTCTGAAGGGTCTTATGTATTCATTTTTCTCCACAGAAAGTTTGGTTTAGATATAGAAAAGTCCAATACACAGCATTTTATTAGCCACAACTATCCTAGTATTTGGATGTATCTTAAGTATAATGCTAACTGATGCTCAAAATTATCTCTTGAAGTGAGTGTTCCATACATAGCTGCTGAATTAATTTGACAGAAATGCTGTCTAAATCAATCCCATCATATTTCTATACCAAAACCAAACTCACTGCCATCGAGTCTATTATTCAACTTATAGAGACCCCTCCTTGGCTTTTTGAGGCGGCATCTCTATAGAGGTAGATTGCCCAATCTTTCTTGTGAGCAGTGGCTGGTGGGTTTGAACCATCATGTTGCTGTAGTTGTATCCTTTTACTAAGTGATGTCTTCTTTCTGACAATTAACAAATGTCTGAACTTTAAATTTATATTTCCTGCTGGAAAATAAAAGTATTTCACATGATGGTTATCACTGAGACAGAAGGCTCTTACTAGAAAAAAAATCGTTTAGAATATCATAAATACAACATATAATTGTTATCTGACAAAATTCTTTAAATTGTTAAAATAGATTTTGCTGGACCATATTAGTTTTCCAGTAATTAAAAGATAATTCCTAAATGGTTTGATAAATGAGAGCCAAGATATTCACTGGTTCCTGTAATCTGAATGTGAGTCAGTCCTTACAAGCTAACTAACATACAAAATTTCAAGTGCCATAATTTCCTGTAGTAAAGGCTGAAAACTGTGCAGAAGCATCCACTTTCTCTGTATTTCTTTCAGTTAACACACCTCCAGGGTTTGATCTGAGCAAATGGCCATCTAGCTATGGTTTCCTGTCTTCCTTTGCAGGTAGCTGTGGCCAAGTAACTAAGTTTTGGTCTATGGGATTTGGATGGAAATAACTGCATACAACTTCAGTTCCAGTCCTAAAAGGAAGTTACTTGCTTTCTACTTCCTGTTCTCTTCTTCTGATGGGCGGGCTAGAGGTGGTAGTGAGCCAGCTCTGATGATGAAAGCAAGGCCAACACCCTAAAACATGGCAGAGCAACAAGAGAGAAGAAACTGGGTCCTCAGATGACTTCAGAACAATGTACCAGTTCAGATTTTTACAAGAGAGAAAAACAACATTTAAGTCACTCTTACTCAATTTCTGTCAAACAGTCAAAACAATATCCTATTATAGTTCCCAAACAGCCAAGGTAACATTTGATTTTGGCTAAGAGCCTATAAAAGTGTGGTTATCTTAATACTTTGAGGTCTAGAAACTTTTTTAGAGTCTCCTTCACTGGAGGCAATTATAACTAGTGGTGGCAGTCAGAGCTTGCTTATTAAACACTTCCAGCCTGGGAGGAAGGGAAGAAGGGAGTGGAAGTCAGTGCCTTTAATTTGTAGCTTCCCTAGTCAGACCTCTGCTCTAGATTGAAAAAGGAAAAAAAGAAAAGATCCAAACATGTATTTCAAAGTTCCCACAATAAGTACTCTGACTCACAGTGGAGCTAAATAGATATATATTAATAATATTCAAAATTAAAGATCAGATATTTAAACAGACTATCACATTGTTGGGGATCAAAATAAATGATACTACCATTCTTAATTGTCAAAAATAACCTATTGTGTTAAACAAGAATTCTCAAGTAACAACCAAAACTTGTAATTTTGACCCCATAATTTACACATCTGTAAAGTATAGCTCAACTCATACATACTAAGAACCAGTTGAGGTCAAGGGTAACTTGGAATCTCTTAAGGGGAATATTGATTTATGAGGGGCTTTTATACTAAATAGGAGCTCTGGTGGCGTAGTGCCTAAGGCATCTGACTGCTAACCATCTGGTTCAAACCCACCAGCCACTCCTCGGGAAGTTGGGCAAGCTACTTCTGTAGTGATACGGCCTTGGAAACCCAAGGAGGGGTTGCTATGAGTCAGATCTGACTTGACAGCAGTACATTTTATATTAAATAAGGAGCTCTGGTGGCATTGTGCCTAAGGCATTTGACTACTAACCAGAAGGTTGGTGGTTTAAAACCACCAGCCACTCCACGGAAGGAAGACTGGGCAATCTACTTCCATAAAGATTTACTGCCTTGGAAACCCAAAGGGGGTTGCTATGAGTCAGAATTGACTTGATGGCTGTGAGTTTGGTTTGGTTTTTTGGTTTATATTAATATTTGTTTTATATAGTTATTATATTTGTAAAACCATATATATTTATTTTGTTATTTTACTATCATTTTTGGTATTTATATTTTGAAATGTTTCCAGAAATAGAACCCTGTATCATAAAATTATCCCTATAGGAATCGTGGGCAGGTGTTCAATTATTGTCCAAGAACTAGTAGAGGCTTAAGTTGAGGGTTACTAAAAAAAGAGTCTGTTGGACTGAGGTTATGAGCAGGCAAACAATAACACAAAATGATTTCTGATATCTTGAGAAGGTTCTCTTCTCATTGTTTTCCCAATACCTTTCTAATTTCTAAGTATAAAATTTCAATGAAAATAATATAGTTTTTTCAAAAAACATTTTCCTATAGCTTTTCTCACATTATATAGTGAAAATAACATCTTATTACTTTTAAATAGAAATATAATTTCTAGCTTTTTCCCTCTTAAGTGATCTTATTAAAAAACTTGAGACATTATCAGCAGTCTCTCATTTAAAATTTACTGTAGAAATTTGCATCCATATTTTTTATAATAAAACATTTAGAAATAAAAGAAATGTAAAGCATTTCACCACACCTGCTATCATCAATTCATCCAACTTATCTGTCAACATCCAGATCCTGGGCAGAGGAATGTAGTTAATGTTGTGGCAACAGGAACTAGAACCCCGGAGAGCAGAACACTGGGAATTTAGGGCCCCAGGACTTTGGATGGCTTGACATTGCACTAATTTGCATTAAAAGTAAAAGTCTGATTCATAAGAGCCAGCTACAATGAAGAAATTTCAAGAAAAAAATGTTTCTTGAAATTTTTAGCTTCTCCCACTGTTTTTTGAAGGTTTTTGTTTTGTTTTACAAAAAGTGTTTGAAGAGTTCATGATTATTTCCCAAAAGGTTAAAAGAATGTAAGGTTACGGACTGAATTGTGTCCCCCCCAAAAAAGTTATGTTGAAGTCCTAACCCCTGTACCTGTAAAATATAACCCTGCCCGGAAATAGGGACTTTCTTTTATTATGCTAATGAGGAAATACTGGAAAAGGGTAAGTTCTAAACCGCATAACCTCTGAGCAGCTGTCTTATAAAAAGAGAATAGATATATAGAGAGACACAGGGGGAAGACAGACACCATGTGAGGACCGGTCTACAAGCAAAGGAATCCCAAAGATGTCCAGCAGATACTGACAACTAGGAGAGAAGCTCACAGAAGGAATCCCCATGGCCAAGACCCTGATTTGGACTTTTAGTCTCCACAATGGTGAGAAAATAAATTTCTGTTCTTTAAAGCCACCCATTTGTGGGCTTTTTGTTGTTGGTGTTTATATGGCAGCACTAGTTGCCTACTGTATACAAGGTAATTCCCAAAGTTAATAAAGCAATTCTTAAAGTTTGATATTATTGGAAAGACTCCTTTGTAAATGAAATGAATAAATAAAAAACATGTTTCAACTTTTCCCTTATAGAATTACTTCTTGAAAAGAAAAAAGTCATGACAAGTTTAGACATTTCTTCCTACCTGAAGATCTGATGAGACAGAACTGCCTCGATCGGAGTCATTTGGCAAAACTGGAGGTGAGAATTTCTGCTCATCTGCTGACATTCTGCACAAATGCTATAAAATAGTAGAAGCTAACTTTAGTTTTTTCCCTCAATACTTAAAACAAAATGCTTTCTAGATACGTTTAAGTGCAATAGCATCCTAACCTACAAATCATCATCATGTGATAGGTTAAAATCATTCAACATACTGAGCACCTGTAGGCAAAACTCACTGGACAAGACAAAATAAAGACTCAATCTTCAACATTAATGAGTTGATAACATAGTCAAGGAGACAAGACAAATGCATGAATGGGTAAGAAAAAAGGTAGTTCCTTAGAAAAGTCCCCGGTGGGGCCTGTTGAGAACAGAAGATTGTGATCACTGTTCTTAATTGATGTGTGACAATATAGGTGTTGTGCACCTTCCTGTAAGACAATGAACCAAAGGAAAATGAAAAATTGTGCAAATTCTTTGCTTAGAGCCCTCCTGTTCCTAAATAATACAAGAAAAGTCCTGGGGTTTCAGTAAGAGTGGGGGTAAACCCCCCAGGAGATCATAAACTCTGATCCAGGAAAGGCAGAAAGGGGTCAAAATACCCTCAGTTGGTTGAAGTAGTGGCCCCACATTCCCTGCAAAGGTCTGGCTATGGGAAAAACCCTTGTCATTTGCTACCTTCCCTCCCCACCCTTAAAATCAGAGTAAACAATGTTAACTTATGGGTGACAGACTGTGAATTCTCCTAAAGACTCACTTTCAGGCAGAGGGGTGAAAATATCTCAGGTAACATATCTTTGCATCTGATAGGTATGGTAGACTGCTGGCTGCCTATAACATCTGTTCCCCCATTCTTCCTATAGTAATGGTTTTAATTTGGCATATGGTCTTTAGCTAAAGATATATTTCCCGGCCTACCTTTTTGCTAAGAAGATCATACAAGTTTAGACAGGTTACATCCCTTAGGTCTAAACTGGATGTTTAATAACTAAATAAAGTACTAAAATCACCTGAATCAAACTTCCATCAATTTACTAATTCATATTACATAGCAAAAAGTGTTCAAATAACTAGCACTCTATCCTTTGCAACTGGTGAGAGAAGAGGAAAAAAATTAACCCATTTAAATAACACTGAATTCGTGTGTGTTTTTTCATGGGTGCTGGTTGTGGTGTTGCTGCTGTTACTAGTTCAAATGCATGGCCAACTTTGGAAAAAATAATTTCTCAATTTTATCAACTAATCCTTTGGGAATATTATTTTAAGAGCTCTTCTAAGAAGCTTGGGCGAAAGATGAGGAAGCTTAGTTCCATAGATTTATAGCCTTGGAAACCCTATGGGGCAGCTCTACTCTGTCCTTTAGGGTTGCTAGGAGTTGGAATCAACCAAGTGGCAGTAGGTTTGCTTTGGTTTGGTTCTAGAAGCTTCATAATGTGATTAAGCTCATAGAGAACAGCAGATTCATATACATATACAGAAAAATTGTTGAAAGTCTTAACCTAAAAAATAAAAATAATGAAAGTATTCTCTAACAAGTAAACAAATTATTTAAAAGACAAACAGTGATTATTCAAAATATCTGAACACCAGTTACGTAAGACACTGGTGAGGAATATAAAATGAAGAAAGTCTTCGTCCTCAAGGAATTTGCAATGTGTAGTTAGGGCCAGAAATGTACATAATATAAATGACTGATTGATGACAAAAGGTACTGTTAGAACTTAAAACAGTAAAGGTAGAAAGTAGGTAAATGGAAGTAGCCATTTTTCCTGAGGTGGGGCTTTAGGGTTATGAAGGAAAAAGGAGCCAGAAAAAGTTTCTATGGAAAAGATGAATGACCCAGGAGTTGAAAGCCACATGATGAGCAGGTCTCATCCTGAAACATGTATTAAAATGTTTTAAACATCATAGCTGCTACTAGCTGTCATTGAGTTGAATCCATGTATTACAGAGTAGAACTGCTCCCACAGGGTTTTCTTGGCTGTGATCTTAACAGAAGTGGACTGCCAGACCTTTTCTTCTGTGGTACCACTGTGCAGGTTCAAACAACCAGCCTTTCTGTTAGCAGATGAGCACAAACTGTTTGTGCCACCTGTTGTTGTATGTGGTTGAATCAATTGTGATTCACAGTGACCCTATGTGACAGAGAAGAATTGCTGTACAAGGTTTCTTAGGCTGTAATTTTTGCAGGAAGGAGCCCTGGTGGTACAATGATTAAGGCTTCAGCTGCTAGCCAAAAGGCTGGTGGTTCAAACCCACCAGTGGCTCCACAGGAGGAAAAAGCCTGGCAATCTGCTCTGTGATTACAGCCTAGGAAACTCTATGGGAAACTTCCACTCTTTCCTATAAGGTCACTATGACTTGGAAACAACTTGATGGCACACAACAATCCTTACAGGAGCAGACTGCCAGGTCTTTTCTCCCTTGGAGCTAGTAGTGGATTTGACTCAGTGATGTTTAGGTTACCAGCTGAGTGCTTAGCCACTGAGCCACCACAGCTCTTTCTAGGAAGCTTGATAACATGATTAAGCTTGGCTTTTAGAAGGATCAATCTTGAATCAGCAGATTTGATGGTAGATTAGAGAAGTGGGATGCCGAAGATGTATCGTGAGCCTTTTGCAGTAGTTCATGATATAAATGTTCCCTCCTGCAGTAATCCAGGTGATAAATAAGGACCTGGATCTAGGAGGCAGCAACGAGAAAAGGATGGAAGGTACAACAACCATGAGCCACCATCATAATCAATAACTGGTAAGGGGTTAAAAGAAGAAACTGTTGATGGTTCCTGACTTCTGGCTTGGATGACATAAATGATAGTGTCATTCACCAAAGCAGGGAATGTAGGAAGATGAGCTCTTTGGGAGGAAGGGCAATGAGTTTAATATCAGATATGTTGGGTGTGAGGTGCTTCTGAGAGAAAGGTGAAGCTGTAGGTATGCAGCATACAGTTACACTATATACTATAGAACTCCAAGGACTGTCATTCACAATGGCTAAAAGGTCAGTGTTGCTTCCTGGAGTTACACAGTACAAGAGTCCCATACAGAAGGTGTAGGTTGGACATATAATTTGAGGAATCAAAATAATAAGGACTATTGAAACAAGTAAGTAAATGAGATCACCTAGGGAAAAGAGTGTGAAAGAGTTCCTAACCTGAGACCCATGTGCCCAAATTACATGCAGTATTTTTTAGTATAAATGCATCTATGCATTTCTCTAGGATCTTACCTTTTAATACGTGTTCATAAACCAAAATCCAAACCAAACTCACTGCCGTTAAGTCAATTTGATTCATAGCGAACCCTCCTTGGGTTTCTAAGGCGATATCTCTACAGAAGTAGATTGCCGAATCTTCCTTCCAAGGAGTGCTTGGTGGGTTTGAACCACTAGCCTTCTAGTTAGCTGTCAATTGCCTTCAGCACTATGACACTAGAGCTACCCATGTGTTCACAGGAGACCCTAATAAATTAAGGACCACTACTTTGAGTGAGGGAGCTCTGGTGGTCCGAAGGCACTTGACTGCTAACCAGAAGGCTGGCAGTTCAAACCCACCATCCACTCCTTGGAAAGAAGGTTGGGCAATCTACTTCCATAGAGATAGCACCTTGGAAACCCAAGGAGGAGTTGCTATGAGTTGGAGACGACGGCACATAGCACTTTGGGTGAAAAGACAGTTAAAGTTAAAACCATTAACTTTTGAAAGAGAAGAGCCAACAAAGAAGACTGAAAAGCTGTCAGAAAAGCAGAACTAGGAGAGTAAAATCACAAGTTTTAAGAAGGTAGTAATCAGAGTTAGATGGGGGAAGAGTGAAAAGAGTCCCTTGAATTTGGCAATCAAGAAGTTGCTGCAATTTGAGCAATTTCAGTGAAAGTGGAACAGATCTCAGTCACAGTGGGATAAAGAAGAACAAAGGAGATGAGGAAACAGAGATAGAAGGGGCTGATACAGAGAAGAGTACAAAATTGGAAAGGAAACAGACTGCTGCTAGACTGTGAAGACCTTAAAAGGAAATTTCAATTTTATTTACTGAGTATTACTGGGTATATATTAATACATGATAAGGAAACTAAATCTCAGCATGACTGCCTTTAGTTAAGCCAATTGTTGTTGTTGTTGTTATGTGCCGTCGAGTCAAACCCGACTCATAGTGACCCCTCCTTGGGTTTCCGAGGCAGTATCACTACGGAAGTAGGATTGCCCAACCTTCCTTCCGAGGAGTGGCTGGTGGGTTTGAACCGCCAGCCGTCTGGTTAGCAGGCAAGTGTCTTAGCCACTATGCTACCAGAGCTCCCCCTTAAGCCAATTAGGAAAGATAAAATAAGCACATAGATCTGCAAAAAGGAATGGCTGTCTCACTGACTTAATATCCCTTACTGTGGTAACTAGGTTTATTTATATTTTCATTCACTTCTTCCTTCAGAATTTGTAGACTGGGTAGGTCACAGAAATGGGGATAAGGTGGTGCTTGTTATTTAAAAAATAAACACATGGGATGCAGAGTACCATCAGACATCAAAAATATTTCTGAATATAAATACTGAGGACCCAAAACAACTATTGCTCTTTTGGAAAATAAGCTAGAAATCCTCCATTTCTCCCGCTTTCATGCCAACAAGGTATGACAGTTTATTTAAAATCCTGCTGCAGTAGCATCACTTTCTTTACTGTTGCTAGATTCAGAAACAAAGGAGAAAAATGAAGCTTGCTTTACGAATGGCAGATAAGTTCACTAAATTTTCAGTATTCTTTAACCCAAGGTATCGGAAAACACAAGATTAAGTTTTGAGTGCTTCTCTACTGCCAAAGAAATCAAATTACATCTTGTTAATTATCTGGCTGGTAAGGAGAGAGGTTTGGGAATTCAACTGTAATCCCAAGAAGCAGAGGAAGAGTGCATCAACGGACAAGCTGGCAGCAGGGAGATGTCCCCTGTGTCCTTTGCAGGTCTAGCATCAAGTATAGAGAGGGGCACGCTAGCCCCTCCCCACCTCGGAGGGAAAAGCCAGTTGCAAGTAAGCAAAGAGTTAGAAGTTTTCTTCAATCTCCTTTCCTATCCATTTTTGTTTTCATC